GTTTTTACTGATGTTGCATGTTGGTGCCTCAGTGTTTTGCAAATTCAACCGAGTTTCAATGCTGAATGCGCTGTTCGACCACCATCCAAAAGAGTTGCCGCAATTCCAGATGATGTAATGGCCAGTGCAATATTATTTTGTGATCGTATGGCTGCCAAAATGAGTGAAAGAAGAAAAGTCTTGCCTGTACCACCAGGCGCATTTATGAAAAAGAGTCCACCGCTTTGTTCTGTGATTGCACGCATAATTCTGTCATATGCAATGCGTTGTTCTGGAACCAACTGCGGAAGATTTGTCTGAACAAATGTTTCCAGTTCGTCAGAATCAAAGTGTGTTTCTCGTTGCTTTGTTACCGATTGCCAAACATATGTCTTCAATCAAAATCAATGCCTCATTATACACGTTTGGTGTGAATTCAATGTCCAGATTTTGATTCGCAGCGCGCAAACGATGTAGAATATCTTCACTCATGTAGTCCTTGTATTTTTCCCAAAGTTCTTTTGGATTAGATGGGAAGCGCATTTGCTGTGGTCGCGCAGTATTCGATGCATCTGCGAGCGCAGTGTCCCAATGTGCATCATTCTCAAGAAAATTTAGCTCCTGGCAAGCTTGGCGATAAGTGGCGCACAGCTGACCGTTGACTGCTCTTAAATCTTGGAAGGATGTCGGTCCACGTACATTGATTAACAGCAATCGCACATAGAAGCACTCTGTATTGTTCGGGTAAACAGTGTACAGACGACCCAATGTGTCATAGGAATACAAATTGGGATGTCCTTCAACTGCTTTACCTTGTTTGCGACGTTGAAACTTTTTAGCCGATGCATTCCATGTGTAGAATTTCGGTACCTCAGAATAAAGTAGAGCCATTGCAAAAATATCATCCTTGCACAGTGAGTAAAATGCAGTTAAAGTTGTTGCCGGTGGTAAAGTTGTCTGCTGTGAAGTACACGCGCTGTCCATTCTCGAGATGCACCACCAAGTGTACTACTGTTGGATGTCGTTCATGGATTGAAAATGATAAGATGCGCCATACTGCTTCATTGCTGCTAATGTAGCGTCCAAGTTGGTATTGGTTGATTTCATCGAGCTGTGCGGCCATATTCCCTACTCCGAAGACTGCCATGTCGCTTACTTTGATGACATATTTGCAAATGTATTTGATCGACTTCACTGAATTGCAATACTCAAGATTAATGTGTGCTTTGAATGTCTTTGAGAGCAACGGTGAATATGGCACAACCCAACGATTATCGACTTCAACATCAACGTTTCGTACTTTCAGAACGATGGATTTGCCGCCATCCTCAACTGATCGTCGACAATATAGTGGGTATCCGTAATTGCCAGTGATGGTATCAGAAACCAAGTTTCTTGGGTATCGTTTCGTGCATGTCCCATCAGACATGCATGGAGAATTGTTATTGAATGCGCCACATGGACCATGGATCATATTTTTGGTAACGACGTCGAATAAGTCTAGGTCAATGTCCTTATCTGGTATTTCTGCTGAGATGATTTGGTCAATTTGATCTGACGTAATTTTGTTGATTAACCAAACCAAAATATGTGCATGTGGCAATCCTTTTTTCTGCCATTCAATGGAATACATCCAGCATCGTGTCTTTCGAAAAACGTGATGCTTGTTAATAAAATCCATCAAAGCTTTTAATTTTTGTTTAAATACGCGTGCGGTAATATCATGGCGGTCCGGAGATGATTGTCCAGCTAACAGAAGTTCTTTAATTTCATCCCATGTTGGATTGCATGTGAATGTGATGAACAAATCTGGACAGTCATATACGCGAACGTATGTCATCGCATCTTGTGCGTATTCATGCATGTGCCGTGGACTCCCCGTGAATGTACCACCGAAGATCTGTGTGTTTGGTAATATGACTATTCTTCCCAATTCGTTTGGATTCACGTTACCATCATTAACGATTGTGTCTCGCAAATGGATGTACTCTTCAGAACGCAACTCGGTTTGATTCAATCGAATATATAGGGGTCGTTCGGTTTCAATCTTCGCGTACATGTCGACGATGTATTGATGGAATAATTGTCGACATTTCAGAATGTGGTTCTCAACGTCTTGACGAATCATTAATTGATACGAATAATAATTCATGGCACTGACTTTCATATTCGTTTCCTCGTCTGTTTGTGCATTTTTCATTTTAATGTTGAAATGATATCCATCTTCTCCTCGCCAAAACAGAATCGGATACTGCAATCCGTCGTATGAGCGATGAGTTTCGGATACTCGCTGAACGTCACCATTTCTACGATGAAGAATTATGTCGTGCGATTTGAATTCTTCGCCTGTGCATTGAACTGTCTTTCGTGTTGGGCAACGGGTCTTTTGTCTGCTCGAATTACAACTGCGTAGTCATCGGCTGGCATTCGTTGAATGGCGGTTTTAAACAACTGAACTAATTCATTGTGTTGATCAAAAAGGGCTTGTAACGCAGCCACGATTTCTCGTCTAGTGCCCTCATTGTAATGGCATTGTTGTTCAATTTGTTCATCACTGTTGGCCATGAAATAAATTTGAAGAAACTTGTGACCTGCGTCCGGCAATGGTAGAAGCGATCGGACACGAAGCTAAATTTGCCGTTGGCCTCTGAAGGTTGGCATGTAATTTTCGCGCACGATGTTCGTTGCACCGAACGATGTCATTTGAAAACATGAATTGTATTTGCGGATGTTTTCCAAGAAATGCTTTGACTCACGTGTAACACCTGATAGCAACGTTGATAGTGGCTAATAAGTGGTAATTCTGGCAGTTTAACTTTTCCACTGGCGCAGCACATTCCTGGCGTTTCGTTCTTAAATTTGAGGGCGCTACAATACATGCAAATTTTATCCATTTTTCCAATGTTGACACTTGGATGAAGACTGTAATTATNGATTAATGTGTGCTTTGAATGTCTTTGAGAGCAACGGTGAATATGGCACAACCCAACGATTATCGACTTCAACATCAACGTTTCGTACTTTCAGAACGATGGATTTGCCGCCATCCTCAACTGATCGTCGACAATATAGTGGGTATCCGTAATTGCCAGTGATGGTATCAGAAACCAAGTTTCTTGGGTATCGTTTCGTGCATGTCCCATCAGACATGCATGGAGAATTGTTATTGAATGCGCCACATGGACCATGGATCATATTTTTGGTAACGACGTCGAATAAGTCTAGGTCAATGTCCTTATCTGGTATTTCTGCTGAGATGATTTGGTCAATTTGATCTGACGTAATTTTGTTGATTAACCAAACCAAAATATGTGCATGTGGCAATCCTTTTTTCTGCCATTCAATGGAATACATCCAGCATCGTGTCTTTCGAAAAACGTGATGCTTGTTAATAAAATCCATCAAAGCTTTTAATTTTTGTTTAAATACGCGTGCGGTAATATCATGGCGGTCCGGAGATGATTGTCCAGCTAACAGAAGTTCTTTAATTTCATCCCATGTTGGATTGCATGTGAATGTGATGAACAAATCTGGACAGTCATATACGCGAACGTATGTCATCGCATCTTGTGCGTATTCATGCATGTGCCGTGGACTCCCCGTGAATGTACCACCGAAGATCTGTGTGTTTGGTAATATGACTATTCTTCCCAATTCGTTTGGATTCACGTTACCATCATTAACGATTGTGTCTCGCAAATGGATGTACTCTTCAGAACGCAACTCGGTTTGATTCAATCGAATATATAGGGGTCGTTCGGTTTCAATCTTCGCGTACATGTCGACGATGTATTGATGGAATAATTGTCGACATTTCAGAATGTGGTTCTCAACGTCTTGACGAATCATTAATTGATACGAATAATAATTCATGGCACTGACTTTCATATTCGTTTCCTCGTCTGTTTGTGCATTTTTCATTTTAATGTTGAAATGATATCCATCTTCTCCTCGCCAAAACAGAATCGGATACTGCAATCCGTCGTATGAGCGATGAGTTTCGGATACTCGCTGAACGTCACCATTTCTACGATGAAGAATTATGTCGTGCGATTTGAATTCTTCGCCTATGCATTGAACTGTCTTTCGTGTTGGGCAACGGGTCTTTTGTCTGCTCGAATTACAACTGCGTAGTCATCGGCTGGCATTCGTTGAATGGCGGTTTTAAACAACTGAACTAATTCATTGTGTTGATCAAAAAGGGCTTGTAACGCAGCCACGATTTCTCGTCTAGTGCCCTCATTGTAATGGCATTGTTGTTCAATTTGTTCATCACTGTTGGCCATGAAATAAATTTGAAGAAACTTGTGACCTGCGTCCGGCAATGGTAGAAGCGATCGGACACGAAGCTAAATTTGCCGTTGGCCTCTGAAGGTTGGCATGTAATTTTCGCGCACGATGTTCGTTGCACCGAACGATGTCATTTGAAAACATGAATTGTATTTGCGGATGTTTTCCAAGAAATGCTTTGACTCACGTGTAACACCTGATAGCAACGTTGATAGTGGCTAATAAGTGGTAATTCTGGCAGTTTAACTTTTCCACTGGCGCAGCACATTCCTGGCGTTTCGTTCTTAAATTTGAGGGCGCTACAATACATGCAAATTTTATCCATTTTTCCAATGTTGACACTTGGATGAAGACTGTAATTATTATTACTGTCATAATGGAATGCCCCAAGATTTAAATCAGCGTGCAGTGATCGTCTTGATCGAGCGGTGCTTATTCGAACATTTTGCAGCCTTCTTTCCCGTTGTTCAGTTGTGTCAGACGAACGGGCCTGAGTAGTACGTAGTCGATCAGTTTCTAACCTCACTTCTTGTTGTTCAGATGATTCAGCCTTAATGCTCGTTGCTCGTCTGATTCTGAGGCTCGTAATGCTCTTTTCTTCCGTGCTTGATGTGTAGATCGGCCAATTGCTTGTCGCTTTGGTGGCATAATTGTACGGGAACGACGTGAAAAATGCGTTTGAATTTATAAGATGTCAATCAGCAAAACTTTATTGCACAAATAAATTGCCACAATATTGAATATTGAATAGATACGCTCTAACGATCTACTACTTATGTACCTGTGTGTTTAATAAAATGCATTATACTGGAGAACCCTGTTTACCTACTTTCTTACGCAAAAAATTTAAAAGAGCCCAAATACATATGTATGTGTTACAGCTATGTACCTGCGTCCTTAAGAAAATGCATTATGCTGGAAAACAATGTATACTTTCTTGCAAAAGTGATTAGGGCTACAAATTTTTCTGTGGAAAAAATTTAAAAGAGCCCAAATTAAGCAATTAAGGAATATTTCTTGCTTCCGAAATTTGTTTTACATACTAAACATCATTCCAGGAATTATTAACATTTTTTGGAATGTTGAAGTTTCTGGCTCTCTGTGAAAAATGTAGGTCGCTATACACTAGTAGTTGATTTATCTATTTTGAGTTCAGTTTATACAACGTATTTATATACGTGCCCCCAGACAAATGTTTTGAATTTGAATCGAATCGGCCTGGAAATTCGGATTTTAGAAATATCTCGACTCCAGCGCCACCTATCAAGTCTATTTTCACACAATATATTTATGTTTAGGTGGTTAATAAATGTTTCGAATTTTAATCAAATCGGTATGTAAATACGGATTTTAGAAATATCTCGACTGCAGCGCCACCTATCCACATTAGTTTTGTTCTATAACACTCCCAGTGATTATATGCACCTACCGTAAAAATTTCATTAAAATCGGTTTGATACTTTTGACGCCTATAAAGGACATACAGACAAATATTCATTTTTATATATATAGATATCAGTCTTTCTTAGTTTACAAATTCATGTCTTACATAAATGAAAAAAAATAGATCAAATTAAATATTGTGGTGGTTCTACAGAACCGAGTGGATATTTCAAAGGATTAGGTA